AAGTAATGTTAACTATTGGAAAGAGGTTCCTAGAGCAACAGGTAAATGGTAAACAACGACATTTTAATTTTTGTACGTCGAAAACGTAAGATACAAGGGTATTTCATCCGAAAATATGCGTTCTAAGAAACTGTTAATTCTTTTATAATTTTTGTAAAAATTATTTTATTTCTAATTTTATCGGATTAACGTAATGTAAGGTTTAAATAAAATATGTTGTTGTACTTTCACTAGCTTATTTTGTTATATTTTTGTCGGACTAGTTTCGTCTTAAAGGCATCCTTAGAGACTCTGCAGAAATATCGATATTTAACATTAGCAAATTTATCAAATATTAATTCAATAAATACAACGTAAAAATGTATAGATTAAATTACAAAAGTACTTATGTACTTGTTTAGAGTTTAAAATTTAAAATACAATCAAATCTTGAAAAACATTGTAGTTTGTTCAATAAAACATTTTGGTAAATAACATTTGATTACAGCACGTTACATTTTAAAATGGTTGAACTACGTATTTTATTTGCAAGTGAAGTCAACAAGCGAGTTGCGAGAACCAGGAAGTATAAAAACGACCAAAAATCATTGGTGTTATAAAGAAAGAGGGAGAGAAAATTTTTGAATTAAAATTTGAAATTTTGAGAATGATAATTAGATTATTTTATCTAATTCAATTATGAAAATAAAATTTTACATGTCTTTCTGACGTTATATAACGTTACTTTTTTTTACAACTAGTGATGTAATTATTTCATTAAATCACTAGTGATGTAATAAATTCCATTCCCTTACTACATAGTTATTTTTGATATAAGATAGCGAAATGACACTTTTGCATTCGAGAACGAAAGTTTTTTTTGTGAGCTTTAGCGAGCAAAAAAAATCGTTCGAGAAATCAAGTTATAAATTAATAAAAAGACGAAATTCAAGATAATGACATTAAGAATTCATTTAATGTTCTGTCAAAAACGTAACGTCACATCGATTTAACCTCACATATTGAACAAATGTACTATTATAATTTATTATAAATTTGCATTTAATCATGAAATGAAATGATAATAGCTATTAACATACCGAGAAATGTTATGACATTTATTACAGCCGCAGATGTCAGGTTTAAGACATCTAAGGCTGTAATGTGTCATAACATCGAGGTTTGTTCAATAGTTTATCGGTTTCAGGCGACCACCTTCGCATTTTGATGACTTTAATGCGAACAATAGTAAATCAAAAATTCATTTGCAACTTTTTCCGTAAAAGTCAAAGTCGTTATACAAGTTGGTTGCTAGGTAGTCACAAAGATGTTTATTTGTCAACAAATATTTTATTTTTTAAAAATTCAATAATTTGTAAAATGAGTGACGTTAATTTACCTAAACTAACTAATGCATCACACATTTTCGAGTTGTTCTATTGCACGATGAACATAAATAATTACTATTATTAAAAGTAGCATTAGGTTTCTGTTCCATTGTTACTTAAAATTTTCATAATAAAGGTTTATTAAATATGTAGCTTCTTTTCCTGTATTGTAAAAATATAACATTACCAATATGTCATTTTTACATTACCGATATGTTATTTTCACATTAATAATACAGTTATAAGGTACATTACAAACCAAGTTTTGTGAATGTTAAGAACCTTCTTACAGCCTGAAACCGGTAAAACAATAATTAAATGTTGATTATTTTGTGTTTATAATTTGTACATAACAATAAATTAACAATTAATAGTATCAAATTATTTGATTGTCGTAGCTGGACGTAAAAGTCTTTTGCGCCCTGGACGTAATAGTATATTAAAAAACAAGTTTCGTAAGACACGCTTGAAATGCACGAATTCAAGTTGAAAAACGAGT